AAATTTTAATAACATTTTATTATCAATGTTTATCCTAATTTTTAATATTAGCATTAATTTAAATATAAATTCTGCTTTTATTGAATCTATAATAGATATAACAATTACAGTATACCAATAAATTATTTTGTTAGTAACTTTCCTTATAAATACAATAGTAAACTTTCTATAGACGGGTGCGAAAATTATATAGAATAGATAAATTCAAATTATTTTATGATACATGACAATTTATTATTAAAATTGCTCGCATCAGTATTCACTTAGTATTCACATCAGTACACATGTACAAAAAATTAACAAACAATCACAGTTGTGTGACTTAATCTATCAATATTTTATATTAGGAGCAAATATGTAACTTTTAGTACATTGAAGGCCAGTCAGTGTTAGAATTGGTATATAAAGAGTATTTTGATATAGGGATCCATTTCTTTGGTATTATTAAACTTGTGATGAGTTTCCTTTAATCGATTGATTATTTTTATGATAATATGATAGAGATATGAGTTCAGAGGAATCATTCAGTTCTTGTGTTGAAGTCAATGGTTGGTCCGTTTGGTACGAAAAATGTGGTTCAGGACCGAGGCCTGTGCTACTAATTCCCGGTGCTACCGGTAATGAGATTAGATATTTTATTCTGATACTGTACTACTAGTGTACTTCTAGTGAATACTATTAATATTGTAATAATTTAGGGACTGGAAGAACCGACTTTCAACATCAACTGGAAGGTGACAATGCCCTGGACTTTGACATGTTTACCATAATCGCTGTGGAGCTCCCGGGTTGGGGTCGGTCGAGACCACCCATCAGAAAGTATGGGACAGGGGTTTATGAAAACGATGCTCAATGTCTCTATGAATTAATGAAGGTGCGACTATTTGTTAGAAGTGAAGTGTTTTAGTTTACATTTGTATATCTGTGATAGGAATTAGGCTTCAATAAGTACTCCATACTAAGCTGGTCTGATGGCACAAAAGTAGCACTACTTATGGCAACTCTTTACCCACAGTCCGTTGAATCCTTGGTCTTGACTTCAGTTTACACTTATATAACAAACGAAAGCTTAAAGCAATTGTTGTCTTCACAAAACGTTGACAATTGGCATAAAGACAAACTCGAGTCTTATATGAAAAGTTATGGCAAGAAAGAAGTGATCCAACAGTTATGGACCAGATTTATCAAATTTGCCGAATATTACAACCAATACTTTCCTGAAAATAAAAACAATTATCATTTGATTAAATGTCGAGTTCTTATAATTCATGGCGAAAAGGTATGTCAACGCAATTGACTGACTTTTATGGGTACTGTACATTTGAATATTGCTTCAAATCTAATTAATGTTATTCTTAAAATAAAAATATTTATAAATAAAATTATTATTAATTTATGAATACTTAAAACTTTCTTAAAGGACAAAATGTGTGAATTGTCTCAGATTACAAAATTAAAGCAAACCATTAGCCGGTCGTCTATCTATCGCTTTCCAAACGGTGAACACAACTGTCACCAGAAATATGCGACAATATTCAAGGATGTGGTCGAGGATTATCTGATGGGACGACTCAAAGACCTGGAGGAAGATGTGGATCCAAACAAAGGACCCAATGATGGCATGATTCATATGAAGTTTACCTCATAAGTTGGGACAAGGATTGGTTAAGTTGACACATTTGATTATATGTATAAATGTCCACATTTATTTAGAATTTCACTTGATTACAGACAAATCTTTGCTAATATTAGTTTTAATACTTTCATTGTAAAATATATGGTATTAAATATGATTGGTTTGAAACTATAATTATGAAATCTAAAGTGAATGTGTATTTGCCGCAATGTGTAATTTTTTCTATAAATAATTTCTTATTCAAAATCAAAATATTTAAATGATTTCTGTGAAATCAAATGTAATAAAATAAGGTCATCAGTAAGCCTTTAAGTGTTTAAATGTTTCTAATTCTCTGTAATCCTAAAATTCGTAAAAAACAAATGTAGTTTTATATGTTTTCTTAAGTTTAATTCAAATATTATTAGCTTAATTTTTTTATTAATAATAAAATTGTCACTAATAATTTGGATTTTATTAGTTTTAATACAAATAATAAAGATAAAAGCCTTATACGTGATATAAATTATTTTAAGAATTTCTTTTCATTTTAGACCTTAATGTTTAGATTGAACCTTAGATTGGACCTTGATAGTAATTGGATTTACCACATGAATTAGAGTTTCAGTACTAATCACTAACTTTTAGAGTGAGAAACAATCGTAAAAAGTTTATTAAAATATAATATTATTTAAGTTGTAAACACATCAAATTAAGTGTAATCTCCACAAACATCCTGGTCAAATCAGGTATAAAAAGTGATTTTTTAAATGTTTAATAAATACAATCTATCTACTTTATTAAATTACAGTATCTTTAATAACACTTATGTGTTAAAATATTACGGTATAAATATTAATCAATAATTTTATTGTAATATTTAAAATTTACAAAAATAATATTAGTTAATGTATCTTTGTAATTTTATTACCTATTTATCACACATCGTCTAAAATAATTATGAACATAATTTAAATTTAAATTTTAAATTATATTTCGTATTTTAATATAAGATACAGTATTCGTATAAATTTTATTTCATTATTTTCATAATTGTTTACAATAGTACATCAAAAAATGATATTTTCTATTGGTTTGTATTCATTTGAATAACATTTAATAAGTTTGAAAGATTTCCTTTAATTTGGTAAACATAATAGAAATGAATGCAAAACTTGTTTGATTTTTCTGCATTTCTTTTGTAAATTTCCAGAATTTTGTATTTAAAATGACCGCATTTGAGCACCTGTATTATTTAATATAATTATATACAGGTATATGACCAGAACTCTCAGACTCTTACAAAAGTTAGGCTTAACTCATTTGATCAAAATCTAATCACTCATTCAAACTACGGTCTTAAGTATTAATATTATATTTCTATTTATAATATTTGAAACAAAGACTCCGAGCACTGATTGGCCTATAATAAAGTTTTTTAGTTAAATAGTTTATTATTATTGATTAGTTTTATCAAACATTTATAAAAGTTTTAGTTTTTAAAATTTATTGTAAGCCAAGTAACAAAATTTGTGAATATTTTCTATTGGACAAAATCTAACTGATGGGAAATTACTTTTACAATTATATTAAACATATTAATCAATGTTTCGCATTTCACATCATTGACTCTGTATTTAAATTGTGATTTAATTGAAACTTTTAATTATAATTTTATAAATTTGTCGTGTTTTCTGAAAATAAGTGTTTAAATATATTTGTCTTATTACTTATTTGATTGAAAATATCGGTATGTTTCTTATTTAATTTATAATAATAATATAAAATTATTTATATTACTTTAAATTAAAAAATTATATTTTTTATCGATAACATTAAACTTTGATTTTTGTTTTACTTTTGGACATTAATAAAATTTTCAATTTAAAAATCATTATCATATATTCCTCAATGATATGTAGAATTCGCAATATAATAAACGATTAAGTTTTAATAATTGTTTTATGAGTTAATATTCAAAAATCATTTTTATTAAACAAATTTGGGTAGTCTAAAATAAATTGTTATCACAGGGCATTTAGGAAATGCATTATCAATTGATAAAATCTACTTTAAATTAAGATATAATACAGTACATACAGTACCTAATAATTATAATGATATATGAATTGCAATATAAACTATACAAATTGTTTTGTTGATAAAGTTTCCCTAAACATTTACGAAAACAAATTAGAATTCATAATTTATTATTATTTTTATGTTACATGGCAATATTAATATCTGAAAAATTACTCACATCACTAGCCACTCAGTTGTACATTACAAGTGCAAAAAGTAAGAATTGGCAAACAATCACACATTACTCTCGTCTGATCTATCATTATATGTAATTTTCGGTGACATTGAAGGCCAATCAGTACTCAGATTGGTATATAAATAGTATTATGATATAGGGATCAATTTCTTGAAAATTATTTTTAAGTGTTTTATTTAATCTCTTATTTAATGTAAGAGATATGAGTGACGAGGAATCCTTCAGTTCATCAGTTGCTGTCAATGGTTGGTCCGTTTGGTACGAAAAGTTTGGTTCCGGACCCAAACCAGTGCTACTAATTCCCGGTGCTATCGGTAATTGTATAGATAATTATGTTTAATATGAGTATTATAATAGAAATTATTAAATTAGGGACAGGGAGAACCGACTTTTATCATCAACTTGAAGGGGATAATGTTCTGGACTTTGATTTGGTTACCATAATCGCGGTGGAGCTTCCGGGTTGGGGTCGGTCGAGACCACCCGTCAGAAAGTATGGGACAGGGGTTTATGACAACGACGCCCAATGTCTCTATGAACTGATGAA